ATAGATTCTTAGGAGACTTTCAATGTGAGTAGAATTCCAAGAAAAGGAGAATCTTTCCAAAGGGTTTCTTATTGTGGAGAATTTCAAGGTAATTTCAAGGAAAACTAGAAAAACATTGAATTCGGAGGATAGCTTCATCCAAATTTTGAGGAACATTTCAATGGAAATCTCCGTTGAATATGGAATGGACTATTCCGAGGTTTTCAGAACTACTTTAAAGTTGCAATTTTTTTCCTGGAGGTGATAAAACTGCCTTGAAGTTCTTTTGTAGTTTAAGAAAATAGCCTGAGCCTCACAATACTTCTAATCAAATTCTTAAACATCCCTGAACTTTTTAGGACTTCCAAAAAAATCCTAAATGTTTTCTCCTGGATCTCTTCTAAAGGTTTAACAATTCGCTGAAGTTCTCTAAACTTCTTTAAACTTTATGTGACTTCTCTAATGTTAACGGAACTGCTCTGAGGTCTCTGTTCTTTTCTGAAATTCTCAAAACTTCTCTAAAGTTTTTGCAGTTCTCACGAAGCTTGTTGTACTGCGCTGAATTTAATTAAACCGTCCTAAAAATGTTTAAGCTTCAACTTCTGAACTTATGCGAAGATTTCAATTAACTTTTTAACGTCTCTGAAGTTATCTGAAAATCTGGGAAGTGATTTAAATTTCCCACAAATTTTCCGAAACTAATGGAACTGGGGAGTTCCCTTGAAATTCCTCCAATTTTCGGAGCTTACTTCACTTATTTCAAAAGCTCCTGTATTTTGCTAATTTTCATAAAAACTCATGAAGTTCGCGGATCTTCCCTTAAGCTCCATATATTTCTATGAAGTTCTCGAAATGTTTCTGAAGACTACTGTGAAGTTTTCGAAGTTTTTTTTCTAAATTTCTTGAACTTTTGTGATTCCGCAATTTTCATGAAATTCGAACGAAATAATTAATATAGTTCTATGATTTTCTCTGAAGTTCTCAAGATTTTTCTGAAGTTCATGTAACTTCCATTAAATTATCGACACTAATTTAAAACTTCTTCAATAGTTTAGACTTTCCTGGTGTTATTAAAATTGCCTAAACGATTACTGAATATTTTTAAAGTTCTCCAGATTGCCCAGAATGTATCAGTATATTCTAAGAAACCGCAACTTGACTGAAATTAATTGAATTGCCTTGAAGATTCGACAATTTTCCTTAAGTATTCTAACTATTATAAACGATTTCTTATTTTCTTATTTTATCTATGCTTACCTGAAATTCTCTAAATTTGTTTAATAATTCTGATATATATATTCTCTGACGTTTTCAAATAAATCATAGAATTCTTGGAATACCCCATAATAAGTTGCTGCAAATTTGCCTAAGTTAATGGGATTATTCTGAAGCTATTTGATCGTCCTCGAAGTACTCGGAACTTCGCTGAATATTATGAAACTATCTAAACTTATTAGAAGTTCTCTGGAATTTCTTGAAGATATCGCTGTTTGCTAAAAGTTCTCGCATTTTTTTTTAATCAATGGAAATTCGTTGATATTTTCTAATCAACTTAGCTAAATTTTCGTATTTTTTAAAGTTCTTGAAATCTCCATGATATACATACCACCTTTAAAATACTCTCACGTTTTCCGGATGTTCATATAATTTTTATCACGTCCCAGAAATTCTCTCGGAGGTTTGCTGAAGTATCCGGAGGATTCTACAATTTCCATGAAATTATTTGAACTGCCCTTTGATTCTCTGATCTGTCTTGATGTTCTCGAATCTTCCTTAATCTATTGAAGATAAATTTCCCAGAAATTTTCTGCATGTCTGTGAAGTTCCTGAAATATTTCTGAAATTTTCATGGTCTCTGTACTTCCCTGAAATTCTCGGAACATCTTAAGAAAGGGTTTTCAATTTTTCTGAATTTACGATTATAGATCTTTTAACTGCCCCATAAGTCTGGACTAAAGCTACGGAAACTGCCCTTAAGATCTGAAATTCCCCAAAGATCTCTAGATCTAGCTTTTCCGACGTGCTTAGAACTTGTTAAAAATTTGCACAATACCCCTCATGTTTTCTATATTTATCAACACCTATGATGTGCTCTGAAATTATAGGGACTTCATAAAAGTTTTTCGGCAGTTAAAAGAACTGATTTGAGGATCTTAAAGCTTCCAGTAAGTTCCCCATATTTTCCGTGTGTTAACTTCCCTTATGTTGCCGCAGTTTGTTTATGGAGCTTCACCGAAATTCTCAGCATTTCCTTTTATTCCTCAGAACTTCTTCAAAGTTCCTACAATTGTTGTGAAGTTAATGGGACTGCAATGAAGATCTCTAATCTTTCATAAAGTTAATAACGAACTTGAAATAAATCATTTATTTGTTTTCCTTAATTCAGGCACTTTGAACATTTTCAATATTAGATCTTGGACTTACTCAAATTAAGTGCGTTTTTTAAAACTATTTCAAAGTGAGAAATTAAGCAAGTGCTTAACTTTAACATTCAATGGATTTGATTGTAAAGCTGTTTATTTAAAACTGATTGCCATGTCTTAAACGTTTGAGTTAAATACTGTTTTATCTTCCAAGAAAGCATATTTTGAACGCATTTAAAAATAGCTTACTTATTATAAGCCTGGAATTTATCCATTAAAGTTCTGGAAAACTCAGGAAATTTTATCAAGAAAAATGAGTAGACACCCTGTACATAGATAAAGACGATTAAACCTCACAAAGCATAGAATGATCAATGTTGAAATAAATTCACGCTAAAAAAGTTGAAAATAGTGACTGATTACAAGAAAAAGTGACTTTAGTGACTTGGCCTTAAAAAAGAGACTTTTTTGTGACTGGCTTGAAAAAAGTGACCAAGTCACTAAAAAAGTGACTCGCTACACACGATTGCTTTTATTGACAATAATCGTATTGTCAATACATTATATATATTTCTTTATATACATCATCAATATTATTGTATTTGTATTTGTGTATCAATATATTATTATTGTAATCCCCTTCGCCTCAATATATTGATACGTGTGGGGTTTGCTTAAACACATCGCTATTTATAATATTTCTGTATTTATTTCATCAATATTATTGTCAATAACTCCCCGCTTAAGACTTCATTTACCCCCCTGACGATAATATGTAGGTAGATTCAATATGAAAAAAAATACTCATTGACACCGCGGATACAAATCCTCATATAGTTTTTAGCAAATTTCTATTGTTCATTATTCATAATATTCATGAATCAACTAATGAACAGCAGCCATGCACGGATATTAATGAAGATCAAGTGTCAAATAAACTGTATTAATGCTCACCCATATAGTTCATGTGATGTATGTGTTTTCCTGAATAATATGTATTAAGCTGGTGTTTTGGCAAAGAAAACTGAAACACATGAATAAAATAATTAAATTTCGTTGCATAATCTATTTCTGGATCATTCATGTTCTTGATTACTGTCGAGAAACTTCTAGATCAACAAATAAAATTAGCGGAACAACCAAACGTAAACAATGGCTTTGATTGAACGCACATTTCTCGAGAATAAAAACACATCCACGCAAATTTTCTATTTCAATTGTTGGGCTAGACTTCAGCTCAAAGGTTATACACGTTTTCGTAGAAGTTTCAACAACTTCATATAACTATTTGGGGGCAAGATGTTTTTAAAAAATACCATAGATTCCCGTTAGTTTGAATAGCTAGAATCGCAATTAAAGGGCACTCAAATAGAATTTGTTTAACAGGTACCCCATACACCGGTGGGTAACGCCATTGGGCATTTCTGTAGGAGTACCATTTAAAATATTCTAAACGAGTGCTGTTTAATTGCAATAGCTAAATTCAAACTAACTGGATTCTAGTTCATTTATCAAAATGACAGGAGTTTTAGGCTGACAGAACTGATGACATTAGAACTATTCCCAAATGTCTACACAAGCAACTTTGCGGTAGATTTATGGACATTTTTATGGTAGCTCGCTTAAATTTAGTTTATCGATTAATTTTTTCAGCACACAATGTTTTAGACAATTATCAGAACCACAAAAATACAAGTTTTGCCGAAAACTATATTTGTAATATTAGTTCCGGTGCTCTGAGGATGGTGGTGTAACAAAGCTTTTAAAAATATCTCGCAAAAATTTAAATGCGATTAAAAATAGACAACTGCATCACCATTAGAAACCGCGTCAAATATGGTGCTGGCATGGTAACGGTTCTTAACAACCCATTAGTTGTAAGGTCCACTTCCAAAAAACCAGAATACATAAGGTTAAAACCTGTTAAAACATTATCACACAAATGTTCATGTAAAGTTCAATAACCATTTCAGTTTAAGTTGAGCAGGGATTATTAACAATTTTTAAGGTCAAGTAATAGTTCGCATTTATGCGGGAGGCGCTGACTTTGATAGATCGTTTGACTCAATACCAGGCAGTCCGCTCCTCTCTTATAATAGACCCTCTCTAGCTAAGACAATTCGTACTAGTTGTTTTCAAATTCAAAACAATCTTTATGAACAAAACACAAAAGAAAACCAAGAACGTCATAATTTTCCATTCCTGAACACGCGCAGACCTTCACCAACACTATCCTGCATCTACGCACACATCAAACTCTTCGACGAACTACGTTTGCGTCATCAATAGTAACAATATCAACACCAACAACCCACAAACGAAAACAACAACATCCATCGAAAACAACATCATCCTGTTGGCATCGATTTCGCAACTACCGTAGGAAATTACAACAGACACTTTCCAGTCAACTTTAATTGAACATTTTTCGCACACCCAATATGAGAAAATTTACAGAAAAAAACATCAATCCCTCAAGGAAATCGGTAAATTTTGTAGCTCTTTATGCCCAAGCACGCGCTTCCCCGACGATCAAAACAAAAACAAACGAGCAGCACACCACCGTTCGTCGCCATTTTTGTTTTGTTCCACCGTGCATGGTCATAATATTATGCTCCAACTGGGGCAGTCACTTTTCCCAGTTTTCTGGCCACTTACCGGTTGATTCTGCTCCTCAACCACGGTCAATTCTTCGTAATCCATCGTTGGAACTTCTTTTCACCAGTTTTTTCAGCACTATAATCGACTTTTATAATCGAATCTTCGATTTTTTCACCAGCCAACACCAATGTGCTTTGTTGTGGATAACACCGTACAGTACAATAAATGGATGGGACACACGGAGTGGAAGACTGAACGATGAACAAGTTCACCGCACACTCTTGAATGAAAGACAAAGTGGCACTACGATTGCATGAATGAGAAAAAGAGAACGGATACGGATGAGAATCATCGCTCGCAGGGCAGGCCACGAATGCGAATGTTTACGTTTGAAATTTTCGCTAACTAGTGTGCGTGTAATCTCGCGACTCCAATGAGAATTGAACTTGAACCAATCCTAGCAATAAATGTATACTGGTATTGGTTTTAAACCTCATTCTTATCCTTCCATTGGACAATGGTCACCAATGGAAGACGTACCGGTCATAACGGGACTTTGCTTTATTATGATGGTATTGAAATTCGTATACCTCAAGGGGTGAGAAAATGTATGTTAAGTAAATTTAGTGGCAAAAAAAAAGGAAAAGCATAGAAAAAAAACGCAGTAGGCTCTGTCCGCGAACGGTTGGTTTTGTTTTCGCTGGCGCTGATTTCATCTGTTTTTCGCATATTTTTTAATAGTACCAAATCAAACAAATATTAGTTTTCGCGTGTGGATAAGTGTAAATTAGGATCTATTACGTCTTAAGAAGTGTTTTTAGTGATATTGTAATTAACGTGAAAAATCTGGGATAAGAATTTGTTTCGAGTAGCTGTGTTGCTGTGGTGTCGCTTCGGTCGGTTTTTCATTTCGCTTGTTTTTGGGGCTTTGCCTCCCTCCCAAGAAGAGTTTTAACGGGTATTTTTTTTTTCTTGGTGCTGGCGTTCTGCCTTCCGGAGGATGCACGCGAATGAGGTGTCAAGCAAAAATGAAAATGCAAATGAAAAACTTCGAATGTGATTCAAAATGTCGTGTTGGGTTGTAAAAACAACGCGGAAGATTTTTTCGATTACCGCGAGTGAACAAACCGGTCCTTTTTCGGAGGCAGAATTTGGTGAGATCCATCTGATTTATAATCAACCATAAATGCACATTTCCATATATTACTAAATACGCGCCAGATTTCGAAACATCACATTTCGAAATCTGGAAGTGTGTTTGCAGTACCATTATTCATATGATAACGGTAGTGTTTACATGCGGGGCTTATTGTATGTGAAAGTAACCTCGGAATGGACGTGAATTACCAGGCATTCTGAAATGGGTTGCTGAATCTGCAGTAGAGCTATCGCTTTCTAACTCCCGGACTAAACTTGCTTTAAATTATTACATCAAGGATTGTTGTAAGCAAATTTCTTCCATAATACCACTGCCGGCCAGTGGGGGTTAGATTGAATACACACATACGCACACACACACAAAAAAAGAAAGGAAAAGCATACAGAGAGGTACCGTTGTTTGCCGGTATTATTTTTTTTGATTCCTTGACACCTGGTTTTTGGCAATACTAAAAAGCTGTTACGCCCTAATTCCAGCTCTATCTAGAAATGATCAATTGGCTTGAAAAGTTGAGCCTGGTTCACCTTTTTTCAATTCAAGTGAGTTGATCAAGTCAGTTGAATGGCATGGTTTACACGTTCAATTCGCATTCAAGTCACTTGAATCAATTGACTTGCCCTGGCTAAACCCAGCTTTACCGTTTGGTACAAACGGTCTGGACTGAGCAATAGATTAGTGCAGTGCTTTCAAACTCAGCCTAAGCAGTCAATAATGTTACGCTCTGGTGTAGGTTGTCACATCGGGCTCTGAGACCATTCTCTGGCTAGTCATGTCATTAATCTTACACAGCAACCATTTTAAAATTACATCGTTAAACTATGTTTTTATTTAATTTACATTAAAAACAAGAACATTAAAAGAGCATGATAAAACTCATAGAATTACACGTTTATTCGATTAATTTTCACTTGCAGTGTATTATTCGACGCATGAAGCTCGAAATCCTGGGACTAAGCGAAGTCCGTTGGCCAAACTTTGGAGAACACAAGCTGCCGTCGGGACAGGTACTACTCTATTCTGGTATTCGAGGTGAAAACGCTCCCCGCCACCGTGGAGTTGGTTTCCTGCTTAGCGCCCAAGCAAATGCGGCGCTCATCAAGTGGGAACCTATCAATGAGAGGATAATCGTTGCCAGATTCAGAACGCGGGTTCGTAACCTAACCATAATCCAATGTTATGCGCCAACCGATGCTGCCGAGTTACAGGACAAAGAGAACTTTTACAGTCAACTGAATGCAGTCGTGGATAAAATTCCGAGAGGTGACATCAAGATCTACATCGGCGACTTCAATGCGAAGATCGGCTCCGACAACACGGATTATGAGCGTGTCATGGGGCGCCATGGTCTTGGCGAAATGAGCGAAAACGGTGAGCTGTTGGCAGAGTTTTGTGGCAATAACGACATGGTGATCGGGGGTTCGCTCTTCCCCCATCGACCAGTGCACAAAGTCACGTGGGTTTCCCGTGATGGACATACCGAAAATCAAATCGACCACATCTGCATCAGCCGAAAATGGAGAAGGAGCCTTCTTGACGTTCGGAACAAACGCAGTGCCGACATCGCGTCTGACCACCATCTCCTCGTTGGAGAGATCCGCCTTCGTATCGCGCGGGTCCAGCGGCGGGAGGAGCGGCTCGGACGGCGATTCAACACACGCCGATTGGAAGATCCAGCAGTAAAAAGGTCATTCGTCGAGGAACTGGAGACCAGAGCTGCGGATATTCCTGATGGTGGCAGCGTAGAAGAGCAATGGACGGCGATCAAGGATGCCTTTACTGAAACGAGTGAAAACAACCTGGGCGAGCTGCGCGCTCAGAGAAAGGAGTGGATCACGGATGACACCTGGAGGAAGATAGAGGAGCGGAGAAATGCAAAAGCCGCGATAGAGCGGGCGAGAACCAGAGGAGCGAAGAACCAGGCCCGCCAACTGTATTCGGCTCTCGAGAAGGAAGTGAAGCGCTCGTGTAGGCGGGATAAGCGAGCGTGGGTGGACTCCCTAGCCGATGAAGGTGAGAAAGCCGCAGCAACAGGCGATATCCGTCTCCTCTACGATATCTCACGACGCCTGAGTGGAGCAAGGATGAATCCTAGGATGCCAGTGAAGGACGCGACTGGTCAGTTGCTCACCGACCCCACTGATCAGCTGAAACGCTGGTTTGAACACTTCGAACAGCTTCTACAAGTTTCGTCGGTCAACCAGCCATCAACATCTCGGCATGAACCGCCAAGAGTGCGACGCATCACTCGCGTCAATTCTGAGGCGCCATCCCTACCGGAGATCGAAGCTGCTATCCGAACCATGAAATCCAACAAGGCTCCCGGGGTCGATCGCATATCAGCAGAGATGCTCAAAGCTGACCCCATGCTATCTGCACAAATGTTGCATCAACTATTCTGCAATATCTGGGACACCGCGACTTTTCCGGCTGACTGGATGCAGGGCGTCTTAGTGAAGGTCCCAAAGAAGGGGGACCCAACTGTATGCGATAACTGGCGTGGCATTATGTTACTGTGTTGTGTTCTCAAAGTTCTATGCAAAGTTATCCTCAACCGGATACAGGAGAAGATCGACGCGACTCTCCGACGGCAGCAGGCGGGATTCCGTGCTGGAAGATCCTGTGTGGACCATATTGTCTCGCTCCGCATAATCTTGGAGCAGGTCAACGAATTCCAAGAGTCCCTTTACTTGGTTTTCATTGACTACGAAAAAGCTTTCGACCGACTCAACCACGAAAACCTGTGGGGCGCCCTAAGGCGCAAGGGAGTTCCGGATAAAATCGTCAACCTCATCGAAGCTCAGTATGAGGCTTTCACGTGCAGGGTGCTGCACAACGGAGCCCTATCTGACCCTATTCGGGTAGTCGCTGGAGTGAGGCAAGGATGTATTCTATCACCGCTACTGTTCCTCATCGTAATCGACGAGATAATGGTTGGTGCGATCGACCGTGTTCCGAACCGTGGGTTGCTCTGGCAGCCTATTACAATGGAGCATCTAAACGACCTAGATTTGGCGGATGACGTTGCTTTAGTATCACAACGGCGTTCTGACATGCAGAGTAAGCTCGACGATCTCGCCGAACGCTCCTCAGCGGCAGGTCTCAACATCAACGTCAGCAAGACTAAATCGTTGGATATCAACACGGGAAATCCATCCAATTTTACGGTAGCTGGTCAGGAAGTGGAGAAGGTTGAAAGTTTCCAATATCTTGGCAGCCAGATAGCGTCGGACGGCGGAACCAAGAGTGACATAGGTGCAAGGATCAAGAAGGCAAGGGCTGCTTTTGCGAGTTTACGAAACATCTGGAAGTCAAATCAGATTAGTCTCCGCACGAAGATCCGAATTTTCAACTCTAACGTGAAATCTGTACTGCTGTACGCTAGCGAAACATGGTGCGTATCAGCGGAGATCACACAGAAGCTGCAGGTGTTCATCAACCGATGCCTGCGGTATATAATTCGTGCTTGGTGGCCTCACAACTGGATTTCGAATGCCGAGCTCCATCGACGGTGTCACCAGAAGCCGATATCGACAGAAATTCGGGAACGTAAGTGGAGGTGGGTTGGCCACACTCTACGGAAGAGCGGAAATGAAATCTGCAAACAAGCGCTGGATTGGAATCCAGCCGGACATCGCAGCAGAGGCAGACCCAGGGGCTCATGGCGGCGAAGCCTAAACAAGGAGATTAAGCAAGTCGACCGGAATTTGACCTGGGCCCAGGTCAAGGCGAAAGCAAACAATCGCCCAGGATGGAGATCTTTCACGTTGGCCCTTTGCGCCAGGGATGGCGCTCAGGACACTTAAGTAAGTAAGTAAGTGTATTATTCTCCACGCGATATAAAAACTTATCAAAGAACATCGAGTTTTCAACGATAAAACCTATAAATTTAGGTTTTGGAAACTGTGACGACGACGAGTCATACAAAAAAAATAAGGTCCATACAACAAATGTGACTAAGGGGGATGGGGGTTTATTTTGCGTGACATAATTAATGGACCTTCCCATACATTAAGCATGGTAACAAACATTACACGCGAACCGTGCATCATAATTTGCGCCGTTCCTAACTCT